TGACTGTTCTTGGCTCCAGCTCACATGGGTTTGTTTCCTGAAGAACTGTGTTTAACATATTCCTTAAAATCAGAATTCTGCGCTTGGAAGGCCCAGATGCAAGAGAGGCAGCTCTCCTGCCCACGTCTGCCTTAGTAGGTCTTGTGGGGGATTTGGCCAGCGCTAACGTTTCAATGCTCTCTCGGAGAAAGATGCAAGTGGGTCTTCACCCAGCACCTTCTGCCTCCCTGGCGCCATCGGCCTCCCTCGCAGTCAGCGCGCTCGGTTTGCTGCTCCGGAGAGCCCCATCACATGGCAACGTCCATTACATGCAGAAGACGAGCCTTCCTCCCTGCTCTTCAGCCCTGTTCTGGTGAAGTCCTCGGCACTGCCTGTTGCAAAATGAAACTGCAGCTCTATTGGTGTAGGAACAGGTTTGGGCTTTGGTGGTAGGCTTGGTGCCTTGCAGCATCTCAGGTTGTTTTTGAGAGGTGGACGTTGGGATGGCTGCTCTGTGGGACAGGGAACTCCTGGGAGCATGAAGCCTGTTGTCTGTGGAGCCGAGCCTGTGAGCTCCGTGCTGTGTGGATTTAGGTTATTGGCCTGGACACGCAGCAGCTGGTTGCAGAGCTCTCCAAGCACTAAGTTCCCAGCAAGTTTCCTACTGGATCCTTGAATTATTGTGGGCTGGTGGTTTTCAGCAGGCACTGCCGGCAAGCAGGGACATGGGCTGGTGGGTACCCCTCGCTCGTGCCCTGCGAGGGGCGAGCAGCCCTGTGAGGATCCCCCACGCGCCCCTGGTTCGAGCAGCCGTGACGGGCAGGGCGAGAGCGGGGCCATTTTTACACTGTTTTTTCCCTTTAAACTCGAGGAGCATCCGAGTTACGTCTCCCAAAGCCGTGGTGAGGGCTGGAACGGCGCTTTGGTGAGCGGGGCTGCCGCGGGCCGCGGCGGAGCCAGGCAGGCGCCCAGGTGACAGGGGATGGCAGTGGCGACGCGGGCGGCCCCCGGGGTGTTGCAAACCTCCCCTGCCTTTCCAAAGCCTCTTCTAAAAGACCTTAATGGAGCCCTGTTGAGGAGAGTTTTGTCACGGGGATGCTGTGAAGGGTTCTGTAAAACGGATTTCCTCGTGTCCCTCAGTGGGCACAGTAATGTTTTCTACCGAGATGTTAAGGACCCAAGTCACACTTTCAGGAGTGACTTAGAGGATGATTTAGCGGTAGGTGAGGCGCATGCTAAACGCACCAGCCCTGCCGCCCTTCCTGAGGATTCATGCCTCGCTTTTGCTCTTAAATCAGCCGAGGTGCCCCAGCCAGGCACCCTGCAGCGGACACCCCTTTTACTCTCTGAGGGCAATTAAATTAAAAAGCTAAAAATTAATTAATCCTTAATTAACGTTCATTTAATTCATCTTGGTATGTTCTAGCGTTGAAACCGGTAGGCAGAGAGAGAGAGACAGATTTTAAAATGCAAGACACCTTCCTATTGCAAACTCTGACTTGTTGGTGTCTTGTTGCATCGATACTCTGCCTCCTTCTACTGTTCTTCATTGTTCTGCCACCCCCAGAGGTACTTGAAAATGTTTTTAAATATCAAAACTCCACCATTAGCTGAAAGTATGTAGCCCATAAAACATGATCCATTTGTGGTGAATTACTCTTGAAACATAAATTGACACATGCAGAACTATGATCGCTAGTGCAATTTTCCATGTTTAATATTTTACAAGAACTTTGAGAAGTTGAGCTCATGAAAGACGGAGTGGAAATAATCTGATCACATGGAAACTCCGAGTATAAAGCAGCAGCAGTAGCAAACCTCCGTCATCTAATAGTCCAGATTTGTCTTTTAAAGTCCCTGTAGTAAAGAGGGAAAAAAATAAATGGAGATGAGGCTGAGATGAGCCTGACAGGTGGGCTGGAAAACCTAGAGCTATCTGAAATGATTTCTGATAACACTGTTTTGGATGTTTTGGTTTGGATCGGTGGTTTTTGTTTTTTTTTTTTTTGAGGTAGCTAGAAGAAGGCAAAGAATAACCTTCCATGTAATGCATTAAACCAAAGCTTGCCAAGGCAAGGGGAAAGCTGATGTGAACAGACTTCTCCAGCATTTCCGAGCCCTGCATCTCCACTGAAGGTGCTGCTAGTTACTGTGGTCTGAGGTAACGGGGAGTCAGCCCTCTGCTTGAGTCTGCAGAGAGCCTGAAACCGCAGCTCCCTGCTCCAGCCTGGGAATTTGCTTCCAAAGGTGAACGCTGAAGCAGCCACGTGGGCAGGCGTCCTCAGCCGAAGGGCAGCGCTGGGTCAGTAACATCTGCAAATGCTGATCTGCAGCCGCAGGTTCTGCAGGGCTGACCCAGGAGCGCGTCACGTATCTGCAGCAGGACCGTGGCAGTGGATTTCCGCCCCACGCCTCGACTTCAGCAGCCCCTGAGTGGCATCTCTGATGCTTCTCGTTGTTGCTGTTTTGAAAAACGAAAAAACAAAAAAGTAGAGCATCACTCCAGCCCCTTCCCCGCTGCATTGCAAGCTGCGGGAGCGCGCGGCGCTCGCAGAGATGTTTGCACAAGCTGCACATCTGCAGCTACATTAGCCAGGAGGAGCTGTCGGGAACATCCCTGCGGCGGGTAGTGCGGCCACAAGGAGCCTGGTTCCTGCCCTGTGCCATTTGCCAACAAAATGCTCCAGAAAGCCCCGAGCTTCCCGGGAGCGCATTGCCGTCGCTCGTGTGCTCGCAGCTTGCACAAGGCCGTCAGTGTCTACGCTGGCGGGCAAGTCGAGAGGACGGGGGCGGCCCGGCGCGTCTTGGCCAGGAACCAATTAACCACTGCTGCTCTTTGCACCCTGCTGCGTCTTGGCACGCCGTGAGCGGTCGGGGCACGAAGCGCCTGGTGCGAGGGGAGCGGGTGAGGCTGTGCTGGGAAGCGTGCGGGAAGGATGCGATCCAAGACTGCTTTCCCTCCTCCGCTCCCCTGCCCGGGAAGGAGGCGGGAGACGCGAAGTGCCACGAACCGCTTGCTGATCAGTCTTAAATGCTCAAATTGATCTCCTCTTGCCTTTAATTAATGCTGGCGGCACGGAGCAGTGTCTGTGCCCAGGCATGGGGAAAAACGACCCCGGGCGGAGGAGGAAGTCGGGAGGCTCCAAGCACATGTTTTGCAGGAACTTTCGCCAGGGGGTTGGTGGCACAGGGCAACACTTGGAGAATCCGTGCTTGTCCTTCCCACCTCGCCGTGCTGCCCGTTCATCCCCGCCCTTCTTCCCTATAGCTGAGGCATGCAGAAAGGACCTTGCTCATTGCCAGAGCCTTGTTCTCCCTTCTGGGCTCAGCGCCCTGCTAAAGGCAGGGAGAGGACGCTTGGATCAGCAAGGACACCAGCAGGAGAGCTGCCCCGAGGCTTAAAAAGAGGCATTTTCGCCTCTTTGGGATGTGGCAGCATCGCGGCCCCGTGGGTGGCGTGTCCGGAGGGGCAGGGGCTGCTCCCGGCCGCCCCTCGGGAAAGCAGGCGGCAGCGCAGGTTGTGCCCGTGGCACCTTTTCGTTTCCAGGGCGCTCCAGCTCTCCCTGCAAGACTGGCAGGAGGCTGCTGGTTTAAATGTGTTTGGCTACATCACTTTGCGTAACAGTTCAGGGGAAAAAAAAAAAAAAAAACTCTTACTTTATTTACATTGCACTCAAGTTTCCGTAGTACAAAAGATTTGCAGGTGCAAATATGTCCTGCCTTCATTAACTTCCCCTCCCTTTTTAATTTATGTGATTTCAATTTTCCTTCCCTGTACTGTTAATTAGGGGACCCTCTAATCAGTACCATTATCACAGTGGTATTCATGTTTAGGAAAGCTGCTAAACAAATGCTTGCAAAATTGCTAAATGGCTAATTAATGTCTGTTAATTAAGAAAATTGCTCATGGTAACAAACCATGCCATTGCTGGCAGCAGCTAGAAGGCGAACACTTGTTGAAATTAGTAACGAGGCAGGTATAGAACATCTGCTCCCGAGCCTTTTCCTGCAGCGTGCCATCGCTTCGCATAACGCACTCGCAAAGCTTGTTTTCTTTCCGTACAAATTACACATTCTTCAGCTTGAAACTGCTTTTATTTTTTCTTTCCTTATGTTAACATGCACCAGTGTATGCTTGCACCAAGCTCGCAGTATTTTTTTTTTCCAAGCAAACTTTTACTTTGTGCTGTAAAGGGGGGAGGAAAAAAAAATCAAAAAAAAAATCAAAAAAAGAATGGGTGTTCAACCCCAAAATGTCAGGAACTACTGCATTGCAGTGCTCAAAACCTACATGAACTAATCTTTCTTTTTTTCCCCCAGACATCTTTAGTATCGCTTTACTCTAAAAGAAATTTTACTTGCATCATTAGGTAATTCATCTTGAGGAAGGCTATTGCAGCCTGAAAGGGTAACTGTGCAGCCCTGCATGTACAAGCGCTTGGGTTGGGTTGTGCCGTCCGCGTCCCGGAGCCAACCTGGGCTGCAGGTTCAAAACGCCCGGCACAAACGCAGGACCGGCCTCCAATTCCCAGCCTCTGCCCTAGATCTCCACTACACATGGACCTCGGGCAAAAAAAAAAGGAAGCCCTGGGAGGTGTTTCCTACCTTCGGGATAACGTGGGTGGAGAGAGGAGAAGACCTGGTTTTGGTCCGGGGTTTTCCTGCTTTCCCCGCGCTCCCTGCTCCTGCGCCGCGCGCTTTGCTGCGGCGCTGCAGCCCGGCGAGGCGCAGCCTGCGCTCAGCACCGAGTGCTGAGCCCTTCACTGCCGGGAGGCTGCTCTGCCTTGACAGATGCTCTGATCCCTTTTTTCTTTTTTTTTTTTTTTTTTTTGCATCTATCATTATTCACCGTTCAGTTAAAAACGAACAGAAACTCCTCGAACAGGAGAAGCCTTGAGAACCGGCTTTCCGACCAAGCAGGTCCCACTGGCGAATCCTTTTTTTTTTTGTATTTTTTTTTAAGCTCTTTCTGCGCTTTCATGTGCTAATCTATAACCTCCTTCTGCTGTCTGACCTCACAGGGACCGCCTGGTTCACAGCCCTCGCCACACGCACAGCCTCCACCTCACAACCCTAACAGCATGATGGGACCCCACAGTCAGGTAACGACCCGGGCGACGTGCAGCCTCTGCGCTCGCTTTTCCTCTCTAAGCGTGTTGGGATGCCGCATCCGGGCACCCCCATCCCCTCCACATCTATCTCTCTCTATATATATATTCTTTTTTTTTTTTTCTCCCTCGTTGTCACCCCAGCTCCCATATGAAATGTTGGTTTTTTTCCCCGGTTTTTATATGTGTAGTTGACAAGGGACTGCAGACAAGTTTCCCTTCCTGGCGTAGCCTGCAAAGTTGAACTGTATTTGGGATTTTTAAACTTCTGTTAGCAGCAGCAATTATAAAAAATAACCTAAGTCTTCCTTCTTTTTTTGGTGTTAACACTGAGGATTTTTTTTTCTTTTTGTGTGTGTCTGTATGTGCTTATTTGCCACTTTTTTTTTATTATTATTCATTTAAACATGGACGGTACCTAATGTTCAGGGTTTCCTGTACGCTAATTTAACAGCTTTACACAGCATTGCCGAAGCATGTCAGATGATCTCTCAAACACTAATAAATCAACAGAAAAACATTTAAAAAATACGGACTCCGAACACCTTTTTCTTTTTTTTTTCTTTTTTTTCCTTTTTTTTTTTCCTTCAACCGTATGTTTTCTAAAAAGCGATTTCTGCAGGTAAATGTGTAAAGCCTGGCTGGCCCGCGCGTGGGTCGCGCTGTCTCCTCGCAGCCTGTCGCTGACCTTGACTTTGTGTCATTGCAGCCTTTCATGTCGCCGCGCTACGCAGGAGGTCCCCGGCCCCCCATCAGAATGGGAAACCAGGTATCGCTGCCCTTCCCCTCTCCCCGGCGGCGGGTGGATGTGGGATCCATTGGCGTTTCTCCTTTATTCCGAGTGGGAAGCGCGCTGGAGCGTGCGGGAAGCGCTCGCTTCCCCGCACCGCCCTCCTTGGTGCTGGAGCATTAAGTGTCGAGCAACCATTTTCCTGGGAATCCAGGATAGAGACCATCATGTTCAGTCACTTACCAGGTCTAACACCCCGCTGTGCAGACCGGGGCGGCAATGCCCTAATCAGAGATTTCCTCTAGTTTCCTCATAAGGAAAAGCAACAGGTAATTCAGTTTAGAAACTAAGTACTTCGGGAGGATTAGCTCGGGAGCTGGTTTACTGCTAATACTTCTTGCACGTAAAGCTATTACGCTTATATAACTCTTATTAGTAGAAACAGCACTGGAAAGGCAGCAAACCGGGCGCGGAGCAGCTCTCCCTGTGCTACCCAGGGCTGGGCATGGAGAGGAGGCGAAGGGCAGCGCTGAGCGAGGGCCGCTCCGAGCGGCCGCGGGCGACGTCCCGGCTCCGCGGGCGCTCTGGGGACATGGGCAGAACCCCCTCACGCTTTGCCTTGGGGAGCTGCCTTAGGTGCAAGCTGCTTTAAGCAGACTGAGCAGATTAAGGGAGTGGGCACCGAACACGGTATGAAAAGCCAGTGGCTTTTAGTCCCTGCTTGTCCCACTCTGTTTGGGTTCCCTTTTTCATTAATGTGGCTCTTTATAGCTTCAGAGAGACACTGAGTCATGCTCAGGCCAGGAAAGTTATTTAAAATAGGGGGTTTTCCAAATCACCTGGTCCAGCAACACTTAAAAGCAAGCCGGGTGTGTGTGTGTTTTGCCTAGGTCCTACGTAAAGTTTTGCCTGATGGGGTTGAGATGCAGCCAGGGGGTTCAGCACAGCAAAGACGCCTGCAGCCTCCTCCTGGGATTTCAGTCTCTTCTTCAGTCTCTCCATTAGCAGATTGGGAAAATTTGGGCTTGGGCTGTCCGTGTGCACCTTGTCCGAAGCCCTTCTGTGTTCTGGCCGTGGGAGATGTTACATGCCTGTATCCAAATAAAAGGCAGCGCTGTTCCAAGCTCTTTACAGCTTGCTTCCCCTGGGCAGATGGTATCTGGGCTTCTCCCCCCTTATCTGCTGAGAGCAGCACAGGGAAGGCAGCCTTTGAACTTCCCGCAGCCACGTGGCCGAGCAGAGCACGGATTTGGGGAGCGCGGAGCAGCTGGAGCTAAAAATGCAGGGAGAGACGACCGCTCCTGAGCGCCTCAGGAAGATGTGGAGAGCTGCTCTCCTGCAAATGAAGCGTCTCCCCTTCATTAGCAAATAAATCACTTTAACACATATGATTTGGCCCTGGTGCTATGTAAATGCCTCGAAATGACGCTACGTGGCTCCTTTCGTTCCCAGCTTTGACGTCTCTGCCCTGCTCAGCCTGGGGTTTCCCCCCATGCTCCAAAAATACGGAGGAGCTTGGATGCTGAAGGGGAAGGAGGAAACGGAGGGATCTTGTCTGGGCTTTTTCTCGAGGGCGTTTGCGAAGGAAAGCAGGAGGGCTGGCAAAGCAAAAGCTAGGCAAATTCCAGGAGTCTGCAGCAACACGTCCGGGGCGGCAGCGGTCCCGAGGGAGGCAGGCAGGCCGCGAGTCGTGTTGTGGCACGAAGGGTGCCGCGGCGCGGTGAGCACGCGGGGGAGCCGGGCACCCCCGGAGCGCGCGGAGCCTCCAGCGGGACCTGCAGGCGGGGATTGCATATTGGCCAGGATACACCAGGGCTGGGGGGTCTTGTTTTTCTTTTGTTTTGCTCTGCTTATTCGTTTGTTTTTATCCTCCTCCCCTTGTTTTGATGTGCAGCCTCCGGGGGCGGTTCCTGGTACACAGCCATTGCTGCCCAATTCCATGGATCCCACGCGACAGCAAGGTAACTCCGGCAGAGGAGCTCCGCGTGTCCCCCCCTTTCCTGCTGGCTGTTGCCTGGGGGTCTATAGGCTCTTCTCCTATATAACCTACGTGCTTTCCTCCCAACAGGGCACCCCAACATGGGCGGCCCCATGCAACGGATGAATCCTCCACGAGGGATGGGCCCCATGGGTCCCGGTCCACAGGTAAACTTCCGCGGAGCAGTTCTTCTCCCGTCCAGAGCCAAATAGCATCTTAGGACTCTGAAAACGCCAAACACCATCTGAACAACCTCTGGGGGCTGAAAGGGCTGGGAGTTTTCCCCCCTGTCCCCCATTAGTGTTAATGCATTTTACATTAGTCTTGCATCTGGAAATCCCTCCTTTTAACATTAGCGAGGTCTTCAAAGCTGCACGTCCTCATTAAGGGTATTGCAGCCGCCTCGTGCTCTTCAGTCAAAGGGGATGCCACTTAGCACCAAGCCTGCAGTAGCATTTGAGTGCATTATGCAATGTGCCTGGGAAATACTTACGACCCTAACAGCAGGAAAGAGAAAGGATGCTTACATTAAAAATAAATAAATAAATAAAAATGGAAAGATACCTTTAGCAGGGGAATAATTCATTCCTCTGCTCATTTCTCCTCCTGCTGCCTGGTTCTGCAGGCTTCTGGAGCTCTCATCTATTTAAATCATTTCACGATCAGATTTTTTTGGAGGGGTAGGAGGAGAGGAGAGAGGTTGGTGTAATAGAACCGCTCAGTTTAGGAGGAAAGGTGGTTTATGCAGGGAAAATTTTGCTTACGTGTTCCTTGCTCCTTGCTTGCTGCCTTTTGTGGTTCAGTTCTTGCCCTTTCCAGCCTTTCAGCACACTTTAGCGCTCATTTGCTCCAGTATTTAGGGCATCTACACTGTTTTGGGTTGTGTGAGTGGTTTTTTTCTTACATGTGTGCTCTTGACTTTGGAAAAACAGCATAGCTCCCTCCATTTAATTTCACAGATCTGTAGCCCAAACTAAAACAAAATTGTCTCTTATGCTGCAGTAATATCAAATCCTGCCTGAGTTACTTGAGGAAGGGAAGGTAGGGAGGGCAGAGCCAGCCCAAGGAGGAGTAAACTCTAAATTAAGCAGATCTAGGTTAATATATTCTGACTTTCTGTTGATTCATTTTAAGAAGTGAATTTGCATGCTACTCTGTTGACTCACTTGTGTTTGTTACTTCTAAGAGACTTGGAAAACAGATTACCATATTTTGGTAGTAGGTTTATCCTCTCTGCATTGTCGCCTACGTCGCGTTTGCAGTGCTAGGATCAGAGTCTGCCGGAGCCGAGTGCGCGCGCTTGGGGTTTGTTTTGTTTTTCCCCTTGAGACTGTTGAGCTAAAAACGAGAGTTGCGTAAAAAAGAGTCACGTCATTTCACCGTGAGCCCGAGAAGGGGGGAGAACCCAGAATATTGATGCACGTCCGTCGCCGCGGGCCGGGCATCGGGCAGATCCCTCATAGGGGGAAAATCGCCACAGGCGGCGGCGGGTGGACGATGCCCCCGTCCCATTCCACCGCGCTGGGACACGCGACCTGGCGCTGCGGTTGCAGCGCTCCCTCGAGCCGGATTAAGGGGGAAAAAAAGGCATTTGTTGCAGTGGCCCCAGCCAAGAAAAGCGTGCCGGGAAGGTTCTGGATGCTCTCTGCGGCTTGGCTGGAAGCGGCTGCTCGCTTCCAACTTGAAAAGATTGCCACGAAACTTGGAAGCGGCAGCGCTGCGCCGAGCGCTGTGTGGGATGATGGCAGGTCTGGGAGACGAGAAGAGTTGTGAAATTTTCAGGGCTTTATTTTTTACTCTGCTCTTCCCTGTGTACGTACATTAGAGAGAGCTTTTTTTAAAATGTAGTCTTCCCTCGGAGAAGCGCAACTGCGTAAACGGATGTATTGGCTTCCCAATCTGGTGCTGCCTTGCCAAAGCGCTCCAGAAACGAGTGCGCAGTGCGTTAGAGTGTGCAAGAAATTATCAAAAATATTGAACCAAAATCATCAGCCTCTAGCACCCTGCCCAGGGCCTCCCAGCCACCTTGAAACCAAAAATTGCACCAGGACCTTCCCAAATATTACCTAAAAATTATTCCAAATGACAGCGAAGTGCCCAGCCAGGACCTCCTGGTATCCTGGTGGCAGCCGTCACGTATCCGCTGACTATTCCTCATCTCTTACAACCTCACACTGCTGCTTTCCCCCTTTAGGAGCTGTAGTTTTAGCTCTTGTGTGCAGAGGTCTCGGTTAGCAGTGCCAGGATTAGATTCACCAGTGCCTCTATTAAAAGGTTTTATAGCTTTCTGGGTTGTTCTTTTTCTAACATTGTTGCTGCTATTCAGTGTAAGTGGCTGGGATCTTGATCAATTAAGGACATCCTAGTAATTTATTTGAGTGAGGCCTTTTCTGCCTAGAGGTGCCCACAACAGAGCAGCAGCGTTCAAGGACGTGCTTAAAGTTCAGGTTTGAGCCCATGGGGAGCTGGCAGCTGTGACGTGCCCAGTGATCCCCCTCTCCCATCCCAGCCGTTTTTCCCCAAATGCCTGAAATCCTGCCCCACAGCTGCAGCGCGGAGGTGGGCTTACCCCGGCAGTGGGGCCGTGGCATGAGGTGTTGGTGCAGGAGCCATCGCACCGGGCGCTGTGTGAGTCCTGTGCCTTCTTCCCAGCCCAACATCCTCCTCTTCCTCACGCATTTCCAGAGCCAGAGGAGGAGCAGCCTGTGCAGCTCCAGGGCCGCACGCTGCTGTGGGGAGGATTCAAGCAGAGAACCCTGCAGCAACATGAAAAAAGACCTTGCATTTTCCTATCACTGCTCCAGACAAAATCCTGGGAGAAGGGGATGCTCTTCTGACCCAGGGAAGCCCCTAATGAGCGCTGGTGCACTTGGCATCCTCCCTCCTTTTGCTGCTTCAGCAATTGGCCAAGTGGCAGCTTCTTCTCTCTTCCCATCCCGGTTTTCTCCTGAACAAACCACAAGCTCATCCCCCTGGTGCCGTGGGCCGTGAGCAGGTTTGTGCTCCGGAGCGGAGGCAGGGGGACACCGCGTTCCGGGGGGCTGCCGGGGGCCGTGTCTCGCAGTCAGACATGGGGAAGATACCACTGCCCTGGCAGGTTTCTTTTTTTCAGTTGCCGACTGCTCGTATGTTCATCATCACCTGATTCTTCTTTCTTTTTTCTTTGGTAATTCAAGTTCATTTTTGCAAACTAACCCTCTTGTTTTTGTTTGTTTGTTTTTTCCCTTCTCTCTTCTTCTCCGGTTTCCCTTCTCGTTATGGTAGACTGATCCTTGGTTATCATTGCAGAACTATGGCAGCGGGATGAGACCTCCACCCAACTCTTTAGGCCCCGGCATGCCTGGAATTAACATGTAAGGCCAATCCGTGACGCTATTCCCTGCAAACACTTGCCCGTGGCCTCTTGCTCGACGCGATACCGGGCGCTGCGCGTGCCAGGGAGGGGGACTGGATGTGAGAGCTGGTGCAGAGCGTTTTTTTCTGTTCCATTTTACCCGCAGGGGCCCGGGAGCTGGCAGACCATGGCCTAACCCCAGCAGTGCTAACTCAGTGAGTATCCTGCTCCTTAGGCACAAGCAGAGGCTGTGCCACCACACAGGACAACCAGTGTAACAGGGCGCGGGGTGGCCGGGTGCCGAAGGAAACGTTGCATTCACAGAGCTCCCTCCCTGGGGCTCCTCATTTAACGAGTCCCTCTAATGAGGGTTTTCTCCTTTCCTTTTCATATAGTCCCTGCCTCTGTAACGAGGCGGCCTCCGCCGGCCATGCTGGCAGTTCGGCCTCCTTTGAGCCCCAGGTGGGCACACGGGCCGGGCGCTCGCTGCGGAGCCGCTCTTGCTTTTTGTCTAAACCCTCTTGTCTCTCCTCTGTGCCTAGATCCCATACTCTTCTTCATCGCCTGGTACATATGTGGTGAGTCCCTCGGCGCGTTCACCGCTCTGGCAGGCGGGTTACGGAGACGCTGCCGCTCGGTGCCTCCCGCCTGGCTCACGTGGGCGCAGGGATGCGGTGCCGCTGTCCTGCGGCCGGGACGGCCTCGGGTCTGGCCTTGGTCAGGGGTTGGAAAACATAAGGGAAGCAAAAATCCTCCCAAATGCCACGTGTTTCCTCGGCGCCCTCCCGTGCTGATGTGGCAGCAAACAGCTTTGCAGAAGC